CTCGAGCTATCTTTTAGGATACTGCTGTAACCCGATCTGTATCTCAAACCACAACCTTCCTATTTTAGTAGTTGTTATGTATGAAATAATAATTTATGTTTACAGATATTTGGATTATATTTAAAGGTTTTATAAAGAAGAACAACAAATAAAATCTTTTGATACTATTAATAAGATTGTTAATAATTTTACTATATTCAATAAAAATAGGCTTGTTGAAATTTATTTTGCTTTTATCTATCAATATGGCTCATATTTTATTTCTACTATTAATTTTTTTTAAAAAAAATACAATACTGTTTTTCTTTTAATAAAGAATATATTGTTCAATTAGAAGTTTTTATCAGTAATAGTGAAAAGCTAATGATTTTAGTTCAAATGTCAATTTAGCTCTTCAAAAATTTGATTTATTAATTGATCTGTTTATTTCTATTTTTCAATCTGCTTTTGATTTAGCTTTTAAAAAATTTTTAAATCATTTTTCTAATCATCCTTTATGTTCACTTTTTCAAGCTGCTAGAATTTTTGATCCATGATTTCCAAAATTAGCTATAGTAAATAGTGATATTTAATGATATAGTGCTTCTATTCCAGAATTAGCTAATCCTTCAAATGAATTAATTCAAGAATGGGGGAACTTAATGATATTGATTATGAGAAATTAGATATATTTTGGGAAAAAGTTAAACCAAATTTTCCACTCTTAAGCACAATTGCTTTTAATTATATTTGGTTACCTATTTCTTCATGTAGTGTAGAATGTAGTTTCTCAGTTTATAATAATATTTTACAAGATAATAGACATAATTTGAGCCTCGAATCTCTTAAAATGCTAAACATGTTATATTTTAATAGAAGCAATAAATAAAATTTTATGCTTTTATTAATTTTTGCTAAGTTTATAATTTTAATATTGATAAAAAATATTATCCAAATTTATACAAATTTTTGTGATAATCCAAACAAATTTTTTGCATAATCCAAATAATTTTTACGGGTCCCTGCTACGTATCCTCTACACTCAAAGGTTTTGAAAACGTAAACATTTTTATTTAAGAGATAATGTAGACAGATTTAAAACGCCATTGGTGCGTTTTAATAAAAATCATGTAATTGCAAAATTTTGCTTAAGCAACTTAGCAAATTTATAATCTTTTTAGAAAGAGAAAATATATATTTACGCAATGTAAATATTATTTTAACCATTGACTTTCTTACTCAAACCTTGATTGGGTAATTGAATGCTGATGTTAAATTTCTAAACCATAAAATATTATAAAGAAGGACCAAGTCCGGGTTTTTTGGGCTGCCTTTCTGATACATAATTGTACGTATATTATGGTAAGATAAACTGAATTAGATAACGATCTGCATCAATAAGGCAACCCTAACCGATACTAATAGAAGAAGTGTAGCAATAATTAGCTATATACATATAAATATTAATTAATTAAATAAAGACAGTTAATTAATAACGATAAACGATAGTTTATTGGACTTAAATTAAAATCACGACTTCGACCACTATATTAAAACATACATCTAAAATGTAAACTGAACCTTATAAACAAACGGGTTTCACAGGTTAACTGGAAGATCTACTTAGAGCTAACCAGTTACAGATTTTCCCAACAAGCTTAATTATTAATAGCTGGTATGAACTAGTTAGGTTACTGTCTAGGAATTTCCTTATAGCACGAGTCACACACACGGTGATATTGGGTATGACTCATAATGTCACTTGATGAAGGATCGGAAAGAACTTGCGAAGGCAACAAAGGAGCTCGTTTAGTAGAGCATTGATCACATACGACTTTACCACACCGTCTATTTTATTTTGTGCAAATTTATTAAATAAGTTAAAAACTTACAAAATATATTTTTATAAAGACCAAAATATTCAGTACAGACCTGCAATGATGCCTTCTAGCCCATAATCTAAATTTCTTATCACAAAGACGACATTCACTTACATCCTCATCATTTTCCCATTTGAATTTGTTATGAGAAGTTAAAGTTTGTGCTTGAGCATTTGTAATGTTGACACCTGTTTGGGGATGTGTTCTAGGAGATACCATAGTGGAAGGCGATGTAAGATCAAGAATTGATTCTTGAAGATTATCAACAACATTCCATGGATGTTCGATTGTTTCAAAACTTGCAGTTGATGGTGTTTCATTGTTAGTAAGCGTTGCATCTGATCTATACGAAAGAGGAGTGGGAGACAATGGCTTTGACATATTTGGAGTCGTCGGAATATCATTGCCTTCCGCAAGTCGTGTAAAATTGTTAATTAAGAGCATGGCTTTTTGTTTCCGTTGTGCATTGTGATCGGCTAAATTTAATAAGACAAAATTAATATTAAATTATATATTAACAGAATAATAACCATTAAAAAAAATAAGGATAAAAAACCATACTCACTTTTAATGCCAGAAGATAGGATTTCGATTGCTTCTTTGTACCTTGCCAACTTATCAGCAGCTGAGAGGTCGACAGACTTACCTTTACTGTTGTCTGGGTATTTTTTAACAATAGCTTCGGCTCTCTCCAAATAATCCAATTCACCAATACCAATTTCATTAAGGGACATTTTACGTTTCATAATCCGTATCCATCTTCTTCTTCGAACCCCAACATTACTACTATTTGATGGTAGTGACTCTGACCAAGATGAATCTGGTTCATCAAATTTTTTAGCATATTGCCATCCTTGTGAATCAACACGTGGATAATCAATATCAATACACCATTCAGTAAACCAATCCCAATCACTTTGTGAAATCTTTGATGAAGTGGATGAAGATGAAGGTCCTAGTGGAAGGTGAACATCTTCCTTGGTACAGGGTCTTCCTTCGGGATGAAGAGACCAAGGGCTACAGCTGTCACTCTTCAAAAGATTATTTGCTGAATATTTTGGAGGATTACGAATAGATAAACTGAAAGCAGAAGACAAACGTTGATTCTCATGAAGAATAACCGGTACAGCGCTATGGAAAACATAAATATCATATGGTTGATTTGTAGCTGGTAAATTCATAAGGTCATAGGGAGAAGTCGCTGTCGAAAAGAACATAGTTAATAAAGTTAATAAAAATTATATGTAAAAAAAATAACAAATAGAGTGACCATTTATATGCATACAGTTATAATTTGTATTGTATTAAAAGTACAATCTAGCCAAATTATAACTTTTCATCAATGGCCATTTTCAAATATATAATTTACTTGATTGCAACAATCTTTTATTTTTCCACCATTCACGTTCAGCTTTCTCCAATAATTCACAGATATATGCTTTTTGAGAAGCAGCGGCTATATCATATGCGGATTCTCCAATACAATTCTTTACAAAAGGATTTGCGTTAGCACGATTCAAAAGGTATTTAACGACAGAGATATGTCCTTTTGACGCTGCATTCACTGTATTAGACGACAAAGACATTTATTTGGTTATAACGAGTATGCTTCAGATTTTCAACTTGAAAAATATAATTAAACATCAATATAAATTTACTCAATGGTGTATGTCCTTTGTTGCTTTTGACGTCTACATTGGCACTGGTGTTCTCTAACAAATACCTGACAATCATTATATGACCTTGGGAGGAAGCGTTATGCAAAGCAGTCCATCCATCATTATCTTTCTGTTCAACATTTGCCGAATTCATTAAAAGCCAGGCCACAATAGACACATGTCCATTATATGAAGCTTTCAGAAGGGCAGTCTATCATAATAAAAATTAGAGTTAAATATAAAAAATATATATGTAAATATATGTATATTATTTACAGTTTTATACATACCTCACCAGTCTGGTCTTCAAGATCTATGATGGCACCAGCTTCAGTGACTAACCATTTGACAATATCCGTATGACCGCGCGAAGCGGCATAGTGTAAAGGATTTAAACCAGAAGATGGGCTTACTTCGTTCGCAAGTAAAAAGGAAGATGTAGTTTCACCAGCACCATGAGGATCTAACAATTCTTTTACCCTGTCTATATTTCCGGTGGCAGCTGCTTCGTATATATCCATGTCCATGTCCATGTCAAAAAATTGAGGAAAACTTGACGTGTCACCTAAAACCTGGACATTGGCAGCAGAATGAAGTATTACTTGTTTTTTATGAATGTTTCCATAATACCGATGGTTTTCCCCTGGAATAGGCGGGTAAACAGAATCAGGAATTTGTATTGTCGGAGAAGCCATCTAAGTTACAAAAGAAGTTTTTGCTATTGTACAATATATAAAATACGTGTTGGACTTCTTTTCCTCCAATCGGAAAGTCAGTTGAACGTTTCCTTATCAGGACGAAGATACAAATTATCGTTATGCTGGCCAATGCGTCCCGTTAACTGTGTAAATAAGGGTTTGGCGCCATGTTTGCTGTGCCATGCGCGAAAAAAGAGTATGATTGGTTCTTTATTGACAAAAGACATCAGAAGTTTAGTGAATACCCAAATTATTGCATCATGATCTTAGTCACATGGTGTCTGCCGTTTATCTTATTTCCGAAACGGGCTTGAATAAGAGTCGTAGCATTTATCTATCACGTTTTTTAATTTATAAAAAACTATATACACGACTTTTAACGTTAAATAGTAATGTCTTTATCGCTAAATACCGATACAAATATTGACATCCTCAAGTAAAAGAATTAAAAATTCGCAGTCACATGATTGTGTCGTCTGATTGGTTATTTGCAAGCTTCAGGGTGATATGGGTAATACGAACCCAACGAAAGTATGTTGATCAACCCAACACAAAGCAAATGTTTAGAACACCACAGTATATAATGCCTCATTAATATAAATAAAAAAGTTTATTTATAAGTAAAAAGGTTTGTATAAATTATCTTCTATATAATCATTCAAGTTTAAAATAAAAATTATTATCGATTGTTCTAACGCAAGTGTACATTGCATATCTTCAAAAAAAGTTTGGAGAATTTACAAAATTATTAAATGAGATATAGAATAGAAATTATGTAGAAATTATAAGTAAAATTACTAGAATTCTAACATAAGTTACGTAATTTTTTGTTTTTAAATTTTATCAATTATACTTTGCTAGGAATTCTTTATGAAAATTTTTCAATCTTTCACAAAACCCATCAAATAATTCTTCAGGTGGTAAGAATGTACTACGAAAATGCCATGTACCATCTTCTTGACCAAATCCACTACCAGGTACAACACATACACCTGTAGCATTAAGCATTTCTAAGCAATAAAATTCATCGGGTTGCTTTCCTACCGCTTTAGCAGCTTCTATTGCTTTGACTGGAAGCCTAATTCTCGGGAACAAGTACATGGACCCCTATGAATATTTAACGCGTAGTATATAAATAAATAAATAAATATATATATGTAGTAATGATTAAAATGTTACTATTTTTTGTTATAAAAATATACTAAATTTACCTGAGCATCTTTACATGAAACTCCTTCCAAAGAATTGAACAATTCACTTAATTTGATACTTCGTCTTCGTAAGCTTTCGAATATATTACTTATTTCTTTTTGGTATAATGGATAGCTTTTATCACCACGTTTCGGTGAACGCACCATCAAATCAACCATGATTTGTCCTGGAACATTCGGGCAAAGGCCAACAGATGCAACCTTATAAAGTTGATCCATAACTTGTTTGTCGATACCAGTACATTCATAGTAGCCACCTCTTCGTCCACATTCACCTATCATACCTTTTGAAACAGAATGGAAAGAAAACAATTCAAGTTGGTCATATTTACTACCCATAGATCTTAGCACTTTTTTAAAGGAATGGAAAGGACGTTCAGTGGGTTGATATATATTTGTTTGGTATACTTCATCAGCAAGAAGAACAATGTGTTGCTGATGACAGAAATCAATTATTTCACGCATATTTTGTTCAGTTAAACATTGTCCAGTTGGGTTACCAGGATTAATGATAACTAGTGCACGAACGTCTAATCCTTTGTCACGTGCAATGGAAAGGGATGAGGTTAACTGAGAAATATCTAAACTCCAATTCTCTTCTTCATTTAAGTAATAAGGTACTGGTTGTGCATCAAAAAGTGATAATGTAGCGCTATAAAGAGGGTATTGTGGGATAGGTATCATAATGCCAACATTGGAATGTGCGATAATAAGTTGTAACACATTTTGTACACCCGTTGAAGCACCTTGCGTTAAAAAGATGTTATTTGGATCGGATGGGTATCCATCACGTTCTATAAATTTGATATAAATTTGAATGATTGATAATTAGTTAATTTTCCATTGATGAAAAGTTATAATTTGGCTAGATTGTACTTTTAATACAATACAAATTATAACTGTATGCATATAAATGG